ATATAAGAAATGATCGATAAATGTGACCTATTACTGTTTGCACCCGCACATCCCAAAGGTGCATCTACTCAACATGCCTAATATTGATCTTACCTTTTCTGCTTGAACTTCTTCTCCCTCCTGGTTCCCCGCTTGTGACTGAGATTTGCCTATGGCTGCAGTAACTCAGGCCCCTTCATCGCTTTGGATTTCCTGTGTCCCCCCGCCTCCTATTTGGTCTCCCCACCATCACTCTTTCCTCACAAAGCCACTCTCCACACTGCAAGATCCACTCATGTCATTCCTCTCCATAAAAACTCTCCAGAGGCTCCCTATTGCCTACCAGGTACAACCCAACTTCTAAGTCACCATATAAGCCCTCTGAGCTCTGGCCTCTGCCTGTTGCTTCCAGGTCATGCCCACCCCTCTCCCACCCATCCTAGCCCTGCCTCCTCCCTTATGCTCCCCTGTGCCAAATGGGTGGTCAGGCGCCCTGAGGAGCCATGCCGCTTCAACATTCTGTGCCTTCCTGTCCTTCTCCCATGACACGACATCATTTTAGGGCCTTATCCCTCCAGGCCTGCAGTTCCACGCAGTCTCCTGTGTCACCCCCCACCCCCACACTCCACCAGCTCATCAGCTCTGCACACTGCCATCAGAAACAGCTTCCTGGACATACTCCGTCACACTTCTGTGCCTTTGCCCAGAATGTTTCCTCCCTCTTTATTTGCCAAATGTGCATCCTTCACATTCTGTGCCCAGGGTCACGGCCAGGGGAAGCCATGCTGCTTCTGCAGGCTGAGCTGGCTCTCCTACCTCTGTGCTTCCCGCGTTCCCATCTTGCCTCTGGTCTCAGTCACAGCACTCTCCTGTTTGATTGTGTGACTTTGTTTAAGGAGCAGTCTCACCCAGCAGCATGAACTCCTCCAGGGGGTTGAGGCACACGCCCCTCCCCCCACCCCCCATGTCGCATCCTTCTCTGTTTTCTCCTTAGCACTATTACCACTGATGCACTGCATGTGTTGCTCACCTGTGCATCTCTCCCACGAGAATATAAACTCTATGCCGGCAGGAGCTTTGTCTGTTTTGATGGATCCTCAGAGCCTAGAATAGTGACTGGCACATGGTAAATGCTCCGTAAATATGTGTTGAATAAATTATTGGATGACTGATCAATGTTACATTGTCTAGATTTGTATCCCTGGTAGTGAATACATTGCCTGGCTTGTAATAGCTACTCAGGATATGTTTTTAGATGAATGAATACTTGATCATGTTGTTAGCCTGTTTCAAAAAGTTGGAGTCCAAGCTCTGTATCTTCTAATCCTAGCCACTCAATTTTGAATCCTCTGTGTCTCAGCATGAGTCCTTATCTCGAGCCTAACTGCTCTGCTCACTGCCTTTGACTATGTCTCCGATATTGTTCTTGCCACACCCCTGCCAATACTCCAGACAGAAATACTATTTACTCATTTATTCAACTCATATTCATTAAGCACCCGAGATAAGCCAGTCACTGTTCCAGCCTCTGTCCTCCTCCTATGTCTATTCCATTTGTCTCTTTTCTCAAGATGAGGACAACTTGATGCTGACTATCCAGGTACTTGTGACGCTCTCCTTGGGCACTAATAACCCATCACTAGTACCTCATCACTAGCATTATTAACCTATAAACAGATATTACACATATGGAGATTTTACAAAAAAGGGCCCTTTACAGAATCAGCACTTCTTAACCTTTCAAGTATTTTGCATGGGAATTTTTCTAATATTTTTTTTTACATCTTCCTTGTCTTCTTAAATAGAGTATTGTATAGAGAATAGCCATCTAACCTTTGGAAGTCATGGTCACCACTATAGACACTGCTACTCTGTGATGTCACCAAGTGCCAAGAAATGTAACTGGTAAAAGGAAAGGGCGTGCGTTTTGGAGTTAAACAATCTTCACGATGACATCCTTTGCAGTCCCTGGGGTCTCCTGAGGTCACCTCCTCCTCTCTTTTAATGTGTCTAATCTATAGTAGGCTTAGGAACCAGATGATGAAGCTTATTAGAAATATTTGTAAACTAGTTGTAAACAGCATTTAAGTGAGGGCATGAGAAATGATTTTATTGGTGAAGCCTATCCACTTTAAAGCATGGATTTTGTACGATCTATTTTGTTGATCAGAGGCCTTTCTCACTTGACTCCTCTTTTTCAGGTATACTCATAATTCCTGAGGCTGGATAAATGACGTCTTTAAAAGTGTGCCTGTAGTACATTTAGCATTTTATATATTCTCTTTTGTTGTTAACTATTTTTACATGCATATGTCACAACTTTTCAATTACATTGTTCCCTGGTTAGATTATTAACGTCCCAAGGGCAGTGGTATTTTATAATCATTCGTTCATTTGTTAAGTATTTTTTAAAAGCAACTACTAAGGAAAAAGATCTGTGATAGAAAACAAGATAAGACATGACATTTGCACATTATTGAGGAGTGACATGCAAATGACCAATGCAAGGTAGGAAGGAGACTATGAAAATCCAGAGCACTATGGGAATTCAAGTGGGGTAGGAAATTGATTTCTTGTTGGGAGAACTGGGGGAGATGACGTTTGAGTTGTATCTTGGTAGACAGGGAGAATTCTAGCAGGGAGCATTCTAGGGTTTAGGAACACTATGAGAGTGGGCAGGAATGGAAAAATATATGCATGAATTTGTGGAACGTATAGTCATGCTGAGTCTAGAGAGCATCCAATTCCCTAGTCAAGTTTGGAAGAAATAGATAAGCCAGACAAAAAGGGGCGGCAGATGGAGCCTACAATATTACCTCTATTACTGCTTAAGGTTAAGCTGGACAACTTGACACTAGGCAAGAGCTCAATAAGCCTGCTAACTGAATAAGGCTGATCCACTTTGTGACAGATAATGAGAGCCAGGCAGGCCTCCAGGATATACAGACCATCATTCAGTTCCTCACAAGTTATCCAACTCTGACCTTTTCAACTTGAATACTTGAGATTGTTGGATACAAATGAACAGATGGCATTTAAAGGTGAATTTATTATCTTAAAATTGAATTTATTTTGCACTACCCCTCTTTCCCACAAAAGCACCACATGGTTAAGGTAGTTAGACTTACAAAAGTGAATTAGAATCACTTTCCATGAAAATTCATTGAGGATCTATCACACAGGGGCTATTCAGAAGCATCATAACTAGAATCAGAAATCCCTGGCCTGCTGTAACTTTGAAGGGTCTACATTTTTAAGATGAAGGAGACACATTTTTATAAAGCTCTGCCGTGAAGCCTGGTAGAGTGGGAGGGCTGGAGGGGAGAGGTGAAGATTGCATACTGAACATATAATGCCCTCTGATGTGCAACATATGGGAGAGATAATGGGGGCTGGAGGGGTTGGTGAAGAGGTGGTGAGGGGATAGAGAGGGCCTCGAAGATTCAAGTTCCTTAACTAAGGCTAGTTCAGGGTGGGCGTTTGTGTCCCCACCCCAACTGCCCACAGTATTCATTATACAGCACCTCTCCTCAGCTGTGTCGTGCAAGCTGCATGGGTCCCAGCCAGGTTCTAGACTCTTCTTCGCCTGGATCCCCAAGCCTATTGGCACAAGACAACTAAGGAAGGACGGTGCAAATATTCGTATAAATAGTTGACAACTGCCCAGGGACTGCTGGGCGCTGGCCACTTTCCAAAATCCTCATCACAATCCTGCAAGGTTAGTGTTCTCGCCCTCCGTCTTTTCAGACAGTAAAATAGTCTCCCAGATGGAAGCAAACCTAGTTGAATCAGGATTGGAATCCGGGCTGCCCGCCTTCAGAAGTGTGCTCTTGGAGCAGTTTCCAGAAGACTGGGGTTGGGGGACAGTGACTGCTCTGTTAGGACAGAAGGAGGGAGAAGGTTGGCTGTGGGGGCCTGTAGGGGGTCTGGGTGTGCATGGTTATTTGTGGGCTCATTTCCTGGGTGGCACGTGAGTTTAAGTGTCAGTGTGTGTACTGGTGGAGG